TGTTCTAAAAGTCTCTTAAACTGACATTGAGAACAAGGATAAGGTGGGAAGGAGCATATCTGTGGTAGGCACAAACCCACCCAGGGTGTTGTGGTCTTGGTATCATTATTTTTGGTGGCCCTAACTTTAATGGAGCAGATAAAACAACTGAGGTTAGCAAATGGCAATGTCAAGGATGGATTTAATTCAGTGGGAAGAAAGCAAATTCTTGCATACGCTAAAGGGAGGGAAGCTTCTTTTCAGTTTCCAGAAGAGGAGGACCATTGTTTAACCCCTGATTAAACCTGAGGAAATCTATCTTTAAATGCAGTTAAAATTACTAGACATTAGAACAGGACCTACACTTACACTTATTTAGGCTAGCAATAATGACTAATGGCTGTTTAATATTGGTATTATTAATAAGAGATTATGTTATTAATAATTTGGTTATAAGATGTAGTGCAACACGCTTAAAATTTTCATTTTTGTTTAAAACACCTGCAAGCATTGTAGTTACATGTAAATATTAAGTCAGGTATTTTATGCCCCCAAAGAACAGATAGTATTTCTCATGTACATTATCACACACAGATTATTCTAGAATTTTTTTTTTTAATTTTTTTTTTTTCAACGTTTATTTATTTTTGGGACCGAGAGAGACAGAGCATGAACGGGGGAGGGGCAGAGAGAGAGGGAGACACAGAATCGGGAAACAGGCTCCAGGCTCGGAGCCATCAGCCCAGAGCCCAACGCGGGGCTCGAACTCATGGACCGCGAGATCGTGACCTGGCTGAAGTCAGACGCTCAACCGACTGCACCACCCAGGCGCCCCTATGTTTTTAATTGAGTTCTACATACCACAAATTATGTCAAAGAACCATGGCACCTTTAAAATTGTTGCCACTAAACCTTTGGTTAGAATTTCCCTTAATGGATGGCAATAAGCCTCAACAATTTACACTGGCTCTGGTTGACTTTCAATTTTGACATGCAGTTTGTGGTATGTTTTCAGAGAAAAACAAAAACTAAATAAATTATTATTAAGTCAATACTTCTCTGATTCATATAGCTATAGAGGAAAACCTATATATGTATTTATGAAACCTAATTATTACATAGTTTTGCATTTCAGCCTAATTCCTATTTTATTGTTTCACCAACAAGACTGCCAACTCTTTAAGCTTTACAGCTAGTCAAGAATTAAATTTGCATTAAATACAGAATTAATGTGTCTTTGGAGTTTAATTTTTTTAAATTAATAGCAAAGTGCAATGTCAGAAGAGTCAATGTACCAAAAAATTGAAACAGAAAATCAAATTTCATTAAAACAATTCCTGTTCGTTTGCTCAGTAGTATATTTTTTACACTCCCTTGCTTTTCCCATAATTAAAAAGTTAATTACTGGAATCATATTTTTTGTGGATCTGAGTTTTCAAAGGATGTGATTTAAACGCTGCTATTAATATTTTTACAGCACTTTGAATAACAGTAATACTACACTGATCCTAACAGTAATATAATTTTGTACGTAATTATATTTAAATGTCTCTATTCTAAGCAGAATTTTGAATTTAACTCTATGCTAAACATCCTGCTTAAGTGTTAAAAATTAAGAACTCTATGGTCTGAATATTTTGTTATAATCTTCTAAAGCTAGCAGTTAAGAAAAATCTAGTATACTGGAGTATAATTTCCTTGAGGGCTAAGTCAATTTCTCTCGCCCTCTCCCATTTTGCCCAATGTAGGCATTCAATAAGTATTTATTCAGTGACTTAGTAAACTGCATTGATAAAAAATAATTATTTCCTTGGTTTAGTATTTATGCTCTCCTAGTTTTCATAACTTTTAGAATACTATAAACAAACCATTAAACTAGTAAAAACTGTGGTACTTTATAAAGAGCACAGTTAGTTTGCGGCCTACTGTTCTTTTTTAGTGACCAAATTAGATGAAATAAATAACAATGCACAAATGTAGCACCTTAAACCCGTAACAATTAAAAAATTCAAGATTAGGTAACTGACCTAATGAGAACAGCTCCCTGTGAAAAGCACATTTGGGGATGCCTCTCAAAAGAACACTATAATTGGCTAAAATATAGTTTTTTAAATTATTAAGTCTTACTACACTGGATTTATGTACAAAGCATAGCCTTTAATATCTATTGAAAAGAAATTACAACAAAGAAATATCCCAAAATTTATCAGACCCTTTAGGAACAAACCACTCAAAAGTCTGTCCACTGCAAATTCAGAATATCTACTTAAAACCTTAACCTGCAATAGAATAAACTATGTCCTCACTTTTTAAAAGCGTAGTTACAAGTAATCCTTAAGAGTCGCTATCATGAAGAAAGACCTTATCTATGATTTGATATTATAATCAAAGGTTCAAACAAGACAAGTTAGCCCACATAAAAAAGTACAGCAGTAGACACGGGCAAGAGCAGCAAAAGGTGAAAGCATTCTCTTATCTTACCAACAATTCCTTTCCTCTTAAGATCATCTTTAAAGACATAAAACTTTTAAGTTCAACGGCCTTGTTCAACCAATTCTTTTAAACCATAGAGTAACTTAAAATCCAAAAATGTCTCCAGTGAATCGATGTACCAATTCCTCAATTAAGGTAGTTCAGCTGTTGTAACCTGACATGCTTGATTTGAAATTTGGTTTAGTTTTTTAAGTCTTATATAATATTAAAACTGATTATAAGGATCAGAGGTGCATATAAAATAACAAACTTGTAATTATGATTGTAGGGTTTGCAGTTACAATTAAAAACCACACTTTTTGCATTTTTTCACATCAAAAAGGCTTTGTCAACATTTCTCATTAGAACAGTAAACTATACAAATTGAGTTTCAACAATTTCCACTGTCACTGGTACTTTTTATAGGAATGATTTCTATTGATGCTTGAAAACTATGAATTATATTTTATTTACATCATCAAATTAGAGAATATTAAAGAATATTGTAAAACTGTTGCACTCCTCTATCATTTTCTTCCAGGATCCACCTGCTCTATGCTGCCCACTATAGGAAATGCAGTATGGTACAAAGAAGCGTAATACTATTCTCTAGGGTTACTGTTAGTGCAATCCCATAAAAAAATACTCTGGGTACTTGGGTGCTAAGATACGGTGGGTATTCTTGCAAGAGATACAGACTGGTTAGTGGTCACTAAATTTATTAAATATAAATAACATCAGTAGGAACACACAGGATCCGAAACGGTATCTTGGTAATGCACACACCAGAACTAGCATTCGGGTGCGGCAGGGCATGGAACTTAGTGATTGAGACGTAGCCTGCAGAAAAATGCAGCTTTGCCCTAGAGAGGAAATATGAGGGTCAAAATCAACACTGCCAAAACACCTACAAAAAAAGAAAAAGTCATGCAAATACAAATGATTGCTGCAACTGTAAAAAAAAAAAATTTTTTTTTAAATAAATTACTTGTATAATGCACATTTAAGTTTCATCAGTGAACCTCCCCTTCCCTTAAACCATGTAAGCATTCCTCTTACAAGCGAATACCCTTAATAGCTTACTTTTGCCTTACATTTTTCTGGTCTTGGGGAAGTTGAATCATGTAGTAATCTGTGAAACATCAAATTTTATGTTTTTTTTTTCTTTGACTAGAGTATATCCAAAATGTTATGAATTTATATTCTACCCATCAGATATACTTTAGGAGTCCATTTTGAATATGATGGGTTCTTTTCAGAGAAAGATTTTTTTTTTTCAAAGTCAACTCTTCAGTTACACATTACATCTTAATTTTTTTTAAGGGCATGAAAACGTTAGATTCCCACTCCAGGTCTTTGCCCTTCGATACTCGTACTTAAAAGCAAAGCACACTATTGTATATGCAGGTGTGTATACACATAAACACACATTAACAGCAAGCAGTGCTTTAAAAGTGGCAACCTCCCCTTCAAAAATAAAAATAAAAATAAATGTCATTTCTCCACTCTGCCCTTTGATATGAAATGAGACCGATATGCCCACTGCAGAGTGGGATGCTAGAAAAGATGTTCTGACGTCTGACCGGAGACATTATCAACATACAACCCTAGATCCCGACTCGGACGACCTAAATTTCAGTGTACATGCCCTCGTTCTCACTCCTGCCCCACCAGCAGCATCCAGGACCCGGGTCCGGATCGCGACCACCCGGTGGGCCAGGGCGGCCCGAATCCCCGAGTGCGGCCCGAATCCCCGAGTACGGCCCGCTCCCCGCAACCCGGCTTCCCAGCTCCCGGACGACCGCGAGTTCCCGGAGCAAAGGCGTCCGAGGTTCCCAAAGCCCACGACTCTGACGAGGGGTACCGACGGTGCTGTGGACTCTGGCATTTAAAAACTACCGAAAAGTCTCGCTGCACAAGTGGCGCTACTAAGGCCGCCGCTGTCGTTCCACGTCGCCCTGTCCCCGTCCCCTCGGAGCGGGACGGGCGGCTCAGGCGACCCTCCGCGAAATCGCGGTCAGCTGCCGGGAGCGCGGAAGAGCAACCAAAGCGACCGAGACGCCGCAGCTTTCCCTTCTCCCCTTAGTTACAATTACCCCGGCGGCTTCTGGCGCTTTCTTCGAGAAAATGAAAATAATAATTTTTTTTTTTAAAGCGTGGAGGTGCTAGAAGTCGTTGACATTTTCCGTTGAACAAGATTCCCCTCGGCTCCATCTCTTCAGCAGGATTTCCAAACTCGGATGCATCCTCAGCAGAGGTATTCCATGTTGACAGATCTCTCGCCTCCCACAAAATGGGGCCGAGGAGGCGGCCGCTGTCTCCTCTATGGGCGCCGCCATTTTGTGAGGCGGCGGCGGCGCGGCGGCAGCAGCCCGGGGTGTGTGTAATGGTTGAATAGAATGACCCCCTCTAGGGAATCCCCGGCGCTGACAGTTACGTAAGGGGCTGTGCGCAAGTGCGGCGTTTAGGGAATCCGCACAGCGCCGGCCTCGCAGCTCTGCGGCCCACATCTCCACCACCCCTAAGAGGACCGGTGGGGGAAGGGACAGATGACCTGGTCTCCCTCCTACCCCACCCCCCGCTTCTTGCCTCCGGCCCCGGCCCAGCTTCTCCACTCCCCCAGCTGGGTCTCCGCCTTTCACTGGCTTCCGTCTCAGACACTCACTGGCCCTTGGGTGTCAGGAACTTCCTAGCCACAGTCTCATTCCAACCCCATTTAAGAGACAAACTTTACTTGGGAAATAAATCCGTTTCCTAGAGTGAGCACCGGAAGCATGCTGGACTACATTACATAATTTTTTTTTCACCAGCAAATAAATGTTCCCATTGGAACTACTACCTGAAATAATCATCCAGACCTGTATAAGCCTGTGACCTTGGGTTAGTCGATGACTTTGCTAATAGTGGCGATCACTAAAATGGGAATAAAGATACGCCCCACACTGTGAAGCTTAATTAGCATTTGTAGCAAAGGGCCGTCTCCAGCACCCCTTGTAAATGCAAACTTAGGTGGGAGTATTTGTTGAGATTAGTCTCCCTTTAAGCAGCTTTATTAACCTTCAAAATATTTTCTACGGGGATGGCATTTAAGACATTTGAGAGAAAGCAAGGAAAAACAAGGCATTATTCACTATTTAAGCGCTGCTACCTTTAAGATATCTTAATGTAAAAATATAAACGTTAATTATTGTTAAGGTTCAAAGAATTGGTTCCCAACCAGTTTAATTACTGTTTGCATAACTCAGCATAAAATAATCTAGTTTGATATGTGAAACCAAAGGCAAGATGAATTAAGAGCATTACTGTATTTCCACAGAACTAGGACAGACAGTTCACATTGTATTTAATTTACAGTTTGCTAAAGTTAGTTTGTGGATAATTCATGGAAAATGTGCTAATCAGGCCCCAAAATACTAGCACAAGGCTCAGAAAAGCCGATTCCTTTAGACCTTGGGGAAAAAAAAAAAG